CGAGGAATGAAATTTAACACGCCAAGACATTTCGCCGGCTGGATTACATTGCTCGTACAAGAGTATATTGCCAGACGATTAATTGTGAAGCAACGTTGGAAACGTTGCTTTCCCTCTCTGGTGCAGGGAGGGGTTAGAGGTTAACGTTGTTTATAGCGATGAAAGCGGTCGGTCGGAAGGGTTTCGGATGGTCTGAAAGCGGAACGATTCGAGGAAGGAAACTTCCTCCGATCTTCGCCCCTATGTTCCAAGCTTTCCTATACGTGCTCGAAGGAAGGAAGCTACGAACGACCAAGAAATCGATCAATCGACGAGTTTCTACCTATATATATATGTGCATGACATGAGAACACGCATGTATCATACATCTCGATTGCTCTACCCATCCAATCGAACTCTGGATGCTCTAAGATTTACTTAAAAGAACGTAACGTTTTTTTTTTTTTTTTTTTGGAAAAAGTTGTTCTTCGAGATTTCTTTTATTTTTCCCTTCGAAAAGTTCGAGAATCGTTTTCGAAAGTCGCGTGTAATATTTACCGGGAACACTTCGAAGCGTTTGCATAGATTTATCCGGCAAAGTTCTTCCCTATAGAAGCGACGTTACCGTTAGCTTCGGCATTTTTCATCGATTACACGATACGCGCGCAAAATAGGGTGAAACGCTTTCTTCTCGTTGTTTTAACTTGTCAAGGAAGTTTTCGTATTTATCCCATCGTTTATCCATCTTCGATACGCGACGATATATCACGGCTTATGTCGAACCGTCAAACGCGCGTTGTCCCGACGATTTGGCTTTCTCGTCAACGGCGGATGATATATCCGCCGGCTAGAATGAAATCGTACTCTATCAAAAACCTACTCGAAACTCGAAAATTCTTTTCTACTGGATCGAGCGAATCGTCGTCCATTCAAATGCGACAGTTCGAAACAGGCCACTACGTTGATAGATAATTTATTCAAATTTTATCTCTCTTTCTTCGTCGTTCCTTGGCTTCTGGATTCTGATGTTCTCGAGTGGAAAATCAGAACGAAGAAAACTGTTCTTCGTTTCGAAAACGGTAAAACTGTAAACGAGGGAGAGGACGTGCTAGGCATGGAAAGAGAATTTTCACAGAGATCGTTCATCGTTGTATCGCACCTATCCTATGCAGTTGACAATGGCTTAAAAGCCGCGGCTGCTTTAAATATTCATCGATATCTTTGTGCTTTCGATGGACGATTCGCTCTGGATGTTTATTTCCGCCTTCGTTCGCTCGATTCACGATCGTTCTGATCCTTTTCACGTGTTGTATACAAGTACACAATTGAACAAAAAAGATTCAGATAAAAATCGACTGGATTTTTCTTTATTTGCGAGTAAACAGAGCGCGACAGATTCGTTAATTAGCTCGATTTTTTCAAAATATTGCGGAAGATTTCCACGATTCACTTTCACGAAAACATTCAAGATTTATTCTCCATTGTGAAAAATCGGGCGTGCGAAAGCTCAGATCGCAAATGATCGAGATGGAATAAAAAGAATCGGAAGATCTCCCTGCAGAAGATCGGTTTCCCTTGATCTCGGAGAAAATAGCGAGGGGAAGGGACGGGGTAATCTTTAAGCACGTTTAAACGTTCCCACGAGGATCGAGAGAGAAAGGGGCGGCGGGCGTACATCGAGTACAATTCCACCGATGTTGCACGCGTAACCGAAATCGATCGGTAGATCAGGGTTTCGCGTTTATAGACGTGCAACGTAGCGCGTGCTCTTACTGTTCGCCACCTGCTGCAGTGTATTCACTCGGTTTACTCTGTATCCGCAGATGTATCCGCAAGCGCGTTCTTGTGTACGTTTCATCGAGAGGCTACCAAGTAGCTCTATAGTTGCCAGCTATCACCGGTGTTGTCGATCAGGAAGGAAAGCTTGACGCACGACAAAGTGCATGCATGCGCGATACATCTAGGTCAACCCCTGTATACGTCTCGTGTGACGATGTGCAGGGCAAGTGTTTGAACGACTTAAGGATATAAACAAAGGAATGGGAGGAAGAAAATTGATTGCTTGATTGCTTCTCAGTTTCAGATTCTTTTTATAAATATATATATATATATATATATATATAGTTTTTTCGAAGAAGAAGAAAATGAACAAGATTTCGTTACCGTGCTTTGATATTTTCATTAAAAAATTTCTTAACAAGTTTCTAATTTATGCCTCGCTGTTCGTTCCCGTCATTCTTTTACGTTTCGTTTTCTTGCTTGTTTTCACGTGTGGAACTTGTAAATTCGCAGCCAGTATATGCAAAGAATCGCTTCTGTTTTTCGAGAGGGAGCGTCGCGATAAAGTAAAAAAATATTTTTGAGATACGAAAGTCAGGAGCAATTAAATAATAACGATTTATTATTATTATTTTTTTTTAAGATGTAAGAGATAAATGCTTATTTTTGCATTGTTATTGTTGCCGTTTTTGATTAGAAAAACGTTTCTAGACACACGGGTATCGTTTATTTTTTTCGTTAGTAGAGAATTCGTAAAAAAATAATGTATATATATATATATAAACGAAAACTGGAACACACGCGGTCAAATATGTAAAAAATTTTCGAGTGGATCGTTAGATACGATATTGTACATTTTCATCGGGGAAAAAAATAATTGACAAATGTCACAGACAGGATTTTTAGCTTTAGTTGTAACAAAAAGATTTTTTTTATTTTGTTCAAAGGATGAAATACTGAGTCAAAAAAAATTTATTCAATCAATTAAAAATTAAATAATTAAATCCCGTATAAAAGATATATTTTTTTCTAGTACTGTATAAATCTTTCTGAAGTACTATATAAAAAAAAATTGATAAACATATTTTATTTTAACGTATACTTTGCATAGACGATAACAAAAGTTTATTCTGTCCACGGTTTAATGAAAACGATTAAATTATCGAACAAGAAACGTAACATATCGAATGAAAGATTTATCTGACAACCATTGCGAAATTTTTCTTTTTTAATCAAACGGACGAATTCATTCGGAACTAATCTATCTTTAATCCACCAACTATCTATTAATCCCTTTGCAATTTCTCAATCCCAAACGATAAATTTGAATGTGATCTCGACGCATCTACATTCTTATTGTACTACATAATTTGGATTTTTTGAGCGACAATGAATTATCTACGCGAATCATCGATTGGCAATATTCCTATGAATGAATTAGTTTCATGAATACACGTATCTTATACATAATATTTGTCGAGTGACGTGTATTAATTAGTGACGTATATTAGCACGAATAGAGACATGAATTCCTCTAGAGATCAGAATGTTACGTATCCTCTGACGTCGAGCAAGTGACGTCGATCGATAGATTGATTACGCTATACACAAGAAGGAAGACACCTGCATTCGGTGTGCATTCGACATCGTGTACTTTTGTCCCACCAATTTCATTATTTTCATAATACTGTCAATTAACGCTGCCTGTATCAAGATGAATAAGCTATGTGCTCCGGTTTGCTTAGATATATGTATCTACGCGTATACGTATACATCTATCACTATACCTGGGAGAGTACACAGATTCACGTATGCGTAAATGTACACACATGCATATTTATGCGTGTGCTCGAGAGTTCGACGGGTATTTCTTGGGTATGATGGCTAATTTGTACGCGCAATTTACAGAATTTTATACGGTATTTCAAACGAAACATTGAACGTTTATTACGGAATTGAAAAAATTCCATTGGCCCGTTAACGCAGTAATTTGATGCTATATGTATATACACCATGAAATTTTAAACAATGATGCTGACTGTTATTTGACCACGTTTAATATTTATGTTTCGTCTAAAGTAAAATTTATTTCGGCTAAAGCATCAAACTTTTAGAATCGTCATTACAAATGTATATACGAATAAATTTAATTTATATGGAAATTGTACTTCCATTCCCTGTAATTATTGCGCGGAATAATATATGATGTAAATGAACGAATAAAAGAGAATTCAAAACATCCCAGTTAAGGGCAAAACAATCTGGAAAATTGACTGAGCAATACTCTATCAAATTATAATATTTCAATTTCAAATATATGATCAATATATTAATTTCCTCGATATATTAAAATAAATTATCAAATAAAATTACAAAAGGAATCGTATTCCCAGATTTTTTTTTTTTAGAAGTTATAAGAAATACATAAAAGAAACGATAAATATTTCTAGATTTATATTTCGAACTTTACGAGATTTTTATTAGTAGCTAGATAATTTCCAAGTCACTCGTATTATTTTATTATCTCGTATATTTTATTATGAATAAATAAATATTCAGTTTAATATACCGAATCGAATGAATCGAGTTTTATTTGAATCGAATGTGTATTCAAACGTATCGCGTTTCATGAAATTTCACATCTTCAACATTGATATTTAATTCTATTGAGATTTTATTGAGATCATCTATATCGTATTAAATACGGAATTTAGTGCATCGGATGTAGTAGGTTATGTGCACCTGTCTCGGGTTGCAAGGATTCAAGATGATCTGTATAGAGATCTGAGAATCTTGAATTGCCAATATTGGGTCCTATGCAACCAAATCTCTTGATATCGAATTTCTCACGTTTTAATCTATCTCTATCGAATCAAAATCTCGTATTGTTTGCTATCTATTTCATCAAATAAATAGCAAACATTATATAAAATTTAATGTTTTTAACGTTATAATAGAGAATTTCTAATGAAAAATAGAATAAAATATTTATATTTATCTTTTTTATTGAATAAGTATATACATGTATTCTAATTAAATGTTGATTGTATTATTTAGTTTAAAAAACATTCTTTTTAATGAATGATAACATCATTAATGAATTGAAATTTCATCGTATGATAATGAATTTGATGAAAAATATGATAAGTTCTTTAATCTTAATAAACTCGATAAAATGTAATCATCAATAATAATTATGGTATATACATATAAATATACATATACATATAAATATCACTCACCTCAAAGAAGAAATCTGCCGAAGAATTGTCTTCCTCCATTTCACTCAATGTTTCTTGATGACAAAACAATAATTATATAATTTCACAACCAATAATTATTCACTAAAATTCTAATTTTTACACAATTTCTATCGACACGATGAGTTGCGAATTACGATGCGACGCCACATTGCCGGTATTGGCGGTAAAACTATCGATACCTTCTTTGACAATCGATGCTGTTACCGCGAGCAGCCACTAGGTGTCAGCGATGCAAGTATATCGATATAAATTTCGCGTCACGGCATGTGCTCGTGTGAATTCGTCAAATTTTGTCGTTTATAATCAAAGTACGCGTTCCACGTGTTACTCGGTCGACATAAACATTTCGTTTGTATTCGTGATCGAGTTTCGTGTTGTGTTCGAACGAATTAATACGCAGTTCGTTTTCGTCATTCGTCTTTATAGCACGTTTGTCTCGCGTTACAGCGAGACAGCTCACGGGCAGTGTTTCGAAATTTTTATTCAATCGTAGTTGAAATTTTGCGTTATATGTGCTATATGTGAATCGCGACGCGATTGTGCAACAAGATTTCGGTGCAACGTGTTTCTAACCTTATCGTTTTTTCGTGTGACGCGACAATATCGCTTAACGGTAGTGTTCGGTCTCAAAGGTGTGTTAGAATCGGTGGTGTTATAGGGGGCGTTGCTGTAACAGCTTACTTTCCCGCGAATTCTCCAGCATCAAACGATAAGAATATTACTCTGTTTATCGCGAGAACGTCCCTCGACTTTGTTTTACGACGGCCGTTAACCCATTTACGTCCGGCTAGAACTGTCGTACAGAACGTTATGAACGGTGTTTCGCCAGACGATTCTTAATCCTTAAAGGGAATGGAACGGTGACAAATTTGAGAGGCTGATCGCGACGTAAATGGATTAAAGAAACCGTTTTGCCCGTTGAACGGAAACGTAATTGTTTTATGTGCCGCGTGACCATTCGTTTCGTAACCATGACGAGGATAACTAGATGTGAAAGCACAGGGAACGTGAGTGATTGTTCGCAAGCTTCGTGATCGCGAACGCAAGTTTTTTGGCTTCATCCACTGATAATGTTACGCCATGCCCCAGTAACACTATACACCGATGGCTGATTGGCGACGAGTCTTGGCATCGATTGACTTTCTTTGTATACCCTCTTCATCGCGGAAACAGTGGCGTTTTTGTGTAGGTAGATGTGACTATTCGAAATTCTATTGTCTTCCTTTACTTCATATTTTACGCGGCGAATCTACTTTCGCGTGGATTACGATTCCTGACAGGAAAGTTTTCGATTGGATGAGAAAGGAAAATAATCGAGAGCAAATATTTATCGAAAATGTTGGACAATATTCCCTGATGCGTAAGTTATATATACATATTTGTTATATTATATTCGTAAGATATATAAGTCGGTCTATAAAAACAATGAACAATTTTAAACTAACGAATAATTTTTCTAAAAATTTAAGAAAAAAGTTTTATATAGTCATATTTATAAATAAATAATTTAAAAAAATTGAAATATAATTAAAACATCATTGAATTATTAAAAAAAGAGAAAGATAAGGAATTAGAAAATATTTTTAGAGATTAATTATATGAATTTAAGTATCGGATTTCCAATTTCTCAAATATATTTTTCTTTGTTCTTTTAGACTGACAATATGAAATATTCGTTCGAATCTATTTCATTTAAATCTATTTTCACGATATAATTTATACGAAAATATTTGGCAAAATTATATGAATTCCAACGCTAAATAAAAATAAAAAAAAAAACAATGATTTTAAAAACGAATATTTCATAGTAAAAATTATATTTTATTTCAATACATTACAATAGCTATAACAATTTATGAAAGAAAAGTAACATATTTTCTCGTAAGCTATTTCTTAAAATTTTGATATTGGTAGAGAAAAAAATTGTTTTTCCAAGTTCCCACTGTTATTTCAAAATCACTTGGTGCGTTTTAAATGGAACGTCGAGTCGGAGGAGAAAAAAATATTCCTTCGGGCGACTCTTGTTGTTCGTATATATACGGGTACAGAAGCTGTAGAAATAGAAGCGAGATACCCAGTATTTTGTTTACTCATAAAACACGTTCGATGTTTACGCACTTTGCTCTAGACATAGATGTAGTCCGTTAAGTCTCGTTAAATTTATTTACTTACGTACTTGTAGGTAATCTAAAACTTCTTCCTTGTTTATTTTATTTGCTTTGACATACGCGCAGTTTCTTATTACTTTTATGGATGGAAAAATAATCGGTTAATCAGATTACCGATTCGAACCAGTTACCCGATTATATCATCCATCTTAACGTCTTAAAGTAAATTCTTTTTTTTTTTTATCTTCCTTTACGATTTACCATTTGTTTCCTTTTATATTTTATAAGTGCATGTTTTGCACAAAATTTTATTCCATCGTTATTCTCGAGTCTTTCTTACTTCAGATTTTTTTCAACCAGTATTTGCTCGAGATGATAACCGACAATCGACCCTCCGCGATTCGTTCTCGTTTTTGCTCGTCACCATCACCTCACCTCAAGAGTGTTTTTCCTTTTTTTTTTTCCTCTCTCCCTCGCGACAAGTACAAAGCGGTCCTATTAAGCCATAACCCGTCGGCGACGGTTTTACATCTGCTTTGCAATTCCTCTGAAAAGAGGATATAGATATCCTACGAAAATACCGCCAGCAATTTCCTCAAATTGCGGTCAAAGAAAGAAGGGACATGCGAACGTCTCATAGCGGATAGTTCATCGTGAATTTATAGCTTTTATCTCGAATCATCTTTTTCATTTGAAACTCTTTTGTTATCATCGACATTCCAAAGATGAAAGATCGACAGTGTAACACACGTGCATAAAAATGTGCTTTTTTCCGTCCGGTTTTATGAATTCTAAAGATTAAAAGTGCAACAAAAAGTCGAAGACAAAAAAGGTATGTTGAATAACAGGCAACATGAATGTAGGAAAAAAGTAATAAAAAGACTTTATTTACGCTCTTTTAATTTTTATAAAGACGCAAGGTTGAAAATGGTGCAGGGAATAACCATTGAAATTCTAAAGTGGCGAGTTGATTTTTCAAGAATTTTGCTAAAATTGCTTTTTCTAGGCTCGGCAGTTAAATACGAACTGCTATAATTTTCATTAATTTTCATAATTTTCATTAGTTATACTTACATTAGTATACTTAGTTTTATATTTACCAAGGGAAATATATTTACAGGTTCGAAAAGGAAAATGTTATTTTGAAAAGAAATCCAAAGTATATATTGTCTAAAGTATATTTCTCGATTTAAACGATACGGTAGATCAATTTACGAGTAAAAATTTACCGTTATTTTTACAAATTTTATTCCATATAATTAGAAATATCCACTAGAAGTATCGAGTCATCGTCATAATTTTCACGATAATATTTCGTTTCAATTTCCATCATGTATAAAATATCTTAACGGTATTTATGTTGGCCGAAGATGTTTACCCCATATTTTTCTCGCCAGTTAGGGTCGAAGGTTAAGTCAATGCACTATATCACGCGTTGGTATATCGAATGGGGACAGGGTCAAGCTCGATCCAAAGTGAGAAATTTATTTGCTCGTAAAAGGTCGACGGGAAAGGATCCTTGTCGGTTGTTTTAGTTGTTTCTTCGGGGATGAAAAAATATCGAGGATGCGTGTATTTGCGAATTCACCACACTTGTCATCCTCTCTCGCGTTTTCTGCGCTCGAATCGGAAGTGCTCACCTTACCACAAAGGAACACGTGACTTGACTCAGTTCGCGGGAACATTTGTCATTCAGTAACAACATTTTTTCATCGTGAAAAAAAGAAAAAAAACCAATTCGAGAAATGAATTGACCTCTCCCTTCGAAAGAAAAATTATTTTTCAACCAGACCAGATACTTTGAATCGTCATATCGATCGTGCATTTTACAATCTCGAATGGCTTGTACCGTGGAGGTAGCTTTAATTCACAGATATAACGCACAGGTATATTAGGTTACAGGCTTTAACGAGAGTTTAGAATTATCATTTGCGTCATATGATTATAATATCATTTACATCATTTGCATGTATTAAACTTGACATGGATGTTAAATTAGACGTTGTATTAAAATGGATGATATATTATTATTAAATGTTGAACAAATGCGTTGTTACGCACGTTACCCGCGAAATTGCGAAGCGATAGAAATTGCACGAATGTATTTATATTTTTATAATTTAAAGAACGACGTCTCGTTGTACGGTATATATCGTCGTGCTTAGGCGCAATAAATTCTCGATGAAGGGATTTACCAAAGAGCGCGAATCGAATATCCTAATTTATGGACTTGGCAAACCATGAAATTATCAGCTTAGAATTGCGAAACGGCATTGAATTAGGAAATTATTCAACCGCTTACATACGATCGAGTTGCATCATCTTCGTCGATATTTTATCCTTTAAAAATTTCTTGGATCGAAACCAGCCAATATAAAATTCAATTTACATCCTTGTCATCGAACCGTTTTTCGTTTCGACTAAAACAATATTCCGTTTTTGTTACCGTATTCTTTTTTTTTTTTTTTTCTACCTTCCCTTTTTCGTTCAGCGCGAAACCAGAAAGAGTAACAACGAGACACAATTTTCAGCCGAATTTTCAGAAAAGAATTGGCGATATAATCGGTGATATAAATCGGAAATATGAACGACCACGGAAAAATGGTACATACTAGGAAAGTTCGTTTCCGGATTAATCCCGAGATTAACCTCGGCGAGGGATACTGGCGCCGTTACGTGCCAAAGAGAGGGCGATATAGGAGATTGAACGTCCAGACTAATCTCGTTCGAAATTAAGCGGCTTATCTTTCGTTGATGTAGTGCCCGTTTTCCAACCACTTAGTAGATTCTTCGTGAGAAAATTTCTCGTGTCGCCAATGGTGTTGAAAAATTTACACGCTTCGCCCCCTTTGTTTCTCGCGAACTCTGGTTCGTTCCAGAGTTGTGGGGGAGGGCACGTATGTGAAAAATCTTCGCTAACGAGCAACACCGTCGTTGTAATCCTTAAATCCACGGATCGAACCTCTATTTCTCCCTCTCTCTTTCTCTCTCTTCTCAAGATCAAACTTTTACCTCGAATTTGATGAAAAATTGTTCGATGAAATAAATATATATTCCGAAAATTCATATCGGGTAAATTGAAATTCGTTTCGATTATTTCTCTTACTTTCGACGGATATTTTTTCGATGAACCATGTTTCGAATCAATTTTGTTGCAAATAGGTTTAATAACATTGGATATTCTACGCATCGCGAATCGACGAAACGTTGAAAAATATTAAGCGAGAAATATTTCTCGTTCGGTCGCAATCTTTTCACAGATGGATCGATTTTCGACACGGTTTATGAAACGATTGATCCGCGATATTAGTTTCGATCCCTTCACTAGAGTATCGTGTCTTGGCCCGACATCGATTTTATCGCAAATTGATTATCGGGAACGGGCTGCTCGTCACGGGCCAGACTCTGTTTCCTTGTTATTATTCAATCGCTTCGAGCGAGTCGAGATATTTTATACACGTCATGATTGAAATACATATAATTCGAACGGTGGAACAATAGGAATGATACATTCATTCGTACATGTACGATGCTATTGCGTTTCGATTCGCAATGGATTCTCGTCTAATGTGAAAACACACGTATCGGGATATATTATTTCTGGAATTATTTCTGTTTAGGCAGGTAGTCATGGGGAAAGCAAACTGGCAGTGTATCCAAATAATAATACATTGTGTTAGCGCGAAATGCATTGAAGGATTGATGGTTCTGGATATTACGGGACAATGAGTAAGATCAGATTTTGGAAGGCAGATTATTAACTAACTGAGAAATTCCCTGCTTTGTTTCTCACTGCTTTGAATGGTTGAACTACGGTCAACTATGGTTCTACGGTTACTTGTCTCTTGATTTACCTATTATGAGTAATTTTATATATCCGCGTGAATGGAGTTAGATTGCATTGTCTCGCCGGAGAATACAGAGTATCAAGAATTAAAATAATTGAAAGGTGTTGATGGATTATTTTTTCCTTTTTTTTTTTTTAAATGTAAAATCGTTTCGTTTCACCGACAGAAATTAATCGAGCAGCTTTATCATGTTAATATTCTCTATTTAGAATAGTTAATAATTAGCTTTATACGCGTAATTCGTAATTTTACACTTGTGCATCATCACTGTCAAATAAATAACACTGTATGTAGTTTATCTCGCGAAGTTAATTAATTGCCATCAAATAATTTAATTAATAGTTTATAATTAATTCGTATTACGTATTATTTAATCAGGAACAACGTTACATTTCATTATTCGT